ACCCAGCACCGGGGGGGGCAGGGGGGGGGCCGGGGAAGTAGTCAGGGGGGGGGGGTCAGATGAGAGCACCAGAATGAAACTCACATTCTCCCTCGGAGAGCTTTAGCCTTCTGTTCCTCCTCGTGGTTCCTCGGTACAGGTGATGGCATCGGCATCATCCCTTCATTAGAATACCCGTCCGTTACCGAGTATGAGCCGCCATCTAGGGACTGTGGAGAGACGGCGAGAATTAGTAGACTGCGAGAGAAAGGCGATGTGTCAGCGCTCTGAAATCATAGGACACATCTATAAAGTACACTGAAGTTCTTCTGCCTCTTGGAGACACCCGCTGTGACCATTATGAGGGGCTCCCACCATCCCTGTGCTGAGATCCCGGGTCTGTACACCCGCTGTGCCCATTATGAGGGGCCCCCACCATCCCTGTGCTGAGTTCCCGGGTCTGTACACGCGCTGTGCCCATTATGAGGAGCTCCCACCATCCCTGTGCTGAGTTCCCGGGTCTGTACACCTGCCGTGCCGATCAGGGGCTCCCACCATCCCTGTGCTGAGTTCCCGGGTCTGTACACCTGCCGTGCCCATGAGGGGCCCCCACCATCCCTACTGGATTTATTTTATATTATGGAAGATGTAACAGGGGGGGCAGGATATGTGGGGACGCCCAAAACTCCAATATGGGGTAAATAAGAACAAGGAACCATTTGCTGTTGAGAGCTCATTGCTGGAGAATGTGGGAGATGTAAGAAGCCATCAGACAGCTCAGCCCACCAGACTCCACCAATAGGTAGATTTTTGGGTGTACTGGCCCTTTAAGCTGCAGTCTGCGGCCCGCCAGCAGGAAACACATTTACAAGATTAAATTTTAACCAAGAAAAATCACAAACAATGCCGACATCACAATAACAGACAGGTAAAGAACACAGACAGAAATGGAGCGTCTCTACGGAGGGGATGAATCTGTTGCACTGTGAAGTCCAAAGCCACCAATGCAGTGCGGAGAGTAAGGAGCAGAATTAGACACGCCCCCGAGGAGCTGGACTGAGCCCAGATGCCTGTGTTTGGGGGGGAGAGGGGGGGACTCTGGACATCACAGCTACCTGGGCACTTACCATTTTGTTCCTGACCAGGTTCTCTATTGCACTGACCAGTTCGGCCGCACTGGGGACCTCGGCCGAGCTCTGACGGGCCACAAGTAAGGAGGGCTGGAGGCCGTAGATGTGCGGAGGGAAAGCAGGTTAGCGGGTGCCGGGGAGGAGGAAGCAGCACGTTGCCAGGCGGGAGACACAGGGGGGTTATGGGGGAAGAAAGGGTGAGAGAGGTTAGTTAGAGGTGACAAAAGAATTTTCAAGCACCCGAAGACATCAAACCAACGCCATTCACCCGGACACATCCGTGCGCATGCTGAGCGGCATCTAGGCACTCGGAGCCCCTGCCACGGCATATCGGGGACATCACCAGACAATTCCCAGCATGCTCTGCAACATACTGCTCCATAGACACCACCAAACAACTCCCAGCATGCTCTGCAACATACTGCTCCATAGACATCACCATACAACTCCCAGCATGCTCCGCAACATACTGCTCCATAGACATCACCATACAACTCCCAGCATGCTCTGCAACATACTGCTTCATAGACATCACCATACAACTCCCAGCATGCTCTGCAACATACTGCTCCATAGACATCACCAAACAACTCTCAGCATGCTCTGCAACATACTGCTCCATAGACATCACCACGCAACTCCCAGCATGCTCCGCAACATACTGCTCCATAGACATCACCACGCAACTCCCAGCATGCTGTTCAGCACACACCACACAGATCTTGCAGAAAGGTTATGCTGAGACATCATTAGCAATTCTGCCGGCAGCCAGTTAGGGGCGGGATTTAGATTTTTGCAAGCCATGTGACAAAGCTGCGCTTGCAATAATCGAGAGTGTGGGAGCCAATCAGTGAGCAGTATTAGGCAGTGAAAAGATCGATGGCGCAGATTGATGTCATATTTCTGGTCGTTATGTTTCCATGTTCCGTGCAGAGAATATCTATTTGTATCTAGTTTTATAGTTCAGGTTGCAGATAGATGGAGCTAATGGCGGAGGGGTCAGGTATATGGTGGGAGGGGTCAGGTATATGGTGGGAGTGGCAGAGGAGTCAGGTATATGGTGGGAGTGGCGGAGGGGTCCGGTATATGGTGGGAGGGGTCAGGTATATGGTGGGAGTGGCAGAGGAGTCAGGTATATGGTGGGAGTGGCGGAGGGGTCCGGTATATGGTGGGAGTGGGGGCGGGTGGATGATGGGGTGGGGTGGGCTATACACCTTACAATCACATGCAATCTGATTGAACAATCCCCTTCAGTCCCCCTGATTGGGCGGCTCAGCCGAGGCTTCTATCACACAGCTCCCGGCAGATCTAGCTTGGTCCGGATTGTACGATCAGATTGCGATGTGTGTGGCCGGCTTTGGATCTGAACGCAGCAGATCGTCTCCGTGGCTCATACAGCTATTAATCCGAACCCGACACGGTGAATCGGGACCCCCCAGTACCTTGTCGTCTGGCGCCGGCTCGTTGTCAAAGATCTTCATGGGTGGCGGTAGGGGAGTGTGCGAGTCGTCGTCCGCCTCCTCGTCCCATCCTTTCTTGCCCTTCTGAAAAAAATAAAAACATTGACACGGTGCCAGGGGGCAAATGATTGCGTCCCACCCACCCACTGACCCGGTATCAGCCCCCTGCACAGCAGAGCTCAGTCTGGGGGAAGGAGAAGCAGCACAAGGAGCTGCAGTGCCCATGTAGTGACAATGGAGCATGCTGACAGAAAGAGAGAGCAGAGGCTGAGTGGCAGAGAGATGAGCTCATCAGCTTTCTGCTTCTCCTTTCGCTGTCCAATCACAGGCTGGGGGAGGGACCAGACCTGTGAGCGTTACTGAACGGCAGCAGCGAAAACTCAGGTCCCCTCCCGTGCCGGACGGGGGCTGCGCAGGTAAACGTGTTCTTCTATATAAGACGGAGGAGAGATAAAGTTAACGCGCGCTCGCACCTCATCGGCGCTGTCGCCCTGCGGGGTGGTGTCGTCGCTCGCCCGCGGGGAGCCCAGGTTGCGCCCCTCCCTCTTCTTCTGCTTCTTGATGTTGCTCTCGGCCTTGCCGCTGTTCAGCCGCCTCACGGGGCTCGTCAGCCATTTCTTCAGCGTGTTGGTGGAGCGTTTGGGCCCCGGCGAGCTGGAGATGGAGTTCAGAGAGGAGTGCGGCTGCAGGTTGGCCACCGAGTCCGTCTTGCCGCCATTTTCTCCCGAGACGGAAAAAGCATCTGCAAGGAAGAAGATAAAAATCAGGTCACGCGTGTGGCGCTCTGCCTCCGAGTTCTGCATTCTCGTCTCATATGACCGGCCCCCGGCTGCGGCAGTCGCCTGGTTGGCCAGTTCAGGAACGTGTGGGCAGCCATGCTGTGGTGGAGGCGGATTATCCAACACGGTCACATAACATTACACAACGAGAACATTCACCCTCAGCCATGTGCAGACCAGAAGGTTCAACAGTCCCAGCTCTCTGTATGGACCTGGTCCCTGGCACCAACCGCCAGCGCACCAACCGCCAGCGCACCAACCGCCAGCGCACCAACCGTCAGTGCACCAACCGCCAGCGCACCAACCGCCAGCGCACCAAAGGGACACAGTAACTCTTAAAGGAGAACTAGGGGGTCAGAACTTTTCCCCATAGTTCTCCTCAGGGTAACGGGAGGACACAAACTAGCGTCCTCCCGTCACCCTTGACACACCGCATGCAAAGCCGTGCAGAGCGAAGCAAAGCTGCCCGCCACGGAGCTTTGCGTGCAGTGTGTGAGCCGAGTGCAGTCAGATGATTGACTGCACCTTCAGCCAATTGGCTCGTGCGTAACCACCGGCCAGATGTCGCATGCTGACGCGCGGGTTTATACGCGCGAGCCGATTGGCTGAAGATGACATTTTTCCTCTCGGCACGCTCAGCTTTGCAAGGTCTCGCCAGCGGACGTGCCGAGGAGAAAATGACATGACACACACTGCACGCGAAGGCAGCGCGCCACCGCTTCGCGCGCAGTGTGTCACAACCGTTAGAATTCTTAGACTGTCGGGATATACTGCCGCCTACAGGAGACAGTCTAGGAATTCCCGCGCCACTCAGCGGAGTCCAAGAAAAGGATTTTATGGGGAGTATTGAATCTGGAACATCAACTCGCCCGATTGGGATCCCACAGTGGAGGACATTATTTGTCACACGCTATTCAACGCACCTCAGTGGTTGTGCACTTCCAGTTACGTTGCATTATACAGGACTGCACACGGATCCCGCACATTTGACTCTACACGGATCCCGCACACAGGACTGCACACGGATCCCGCACATATGACTCTACACGGATCCCGCACACAGGACTGTACACGGATCCCGCACACAGGACTGCACACGGATCCCGCACATATGACTCTACACGGATCCCGCACACAGGACTGTACACGGATCCCGCACATTTGACTCTACACGGATCCCGCACATTTGACTCTACACGGATCCCGCACATTTGACTCTACACGGATCCCGCACATTTGACTCTACACGGATCCCGCACATTTGACTCTACACGGATCCCGCACATTTGACTCTACACGGATCCCGCACATTTGACTCTACACGGATCCCGCACATTTGACTCTACACGGATCCCGCACATTTGACTCTACACGGATCCCGCACATTTGACTCTACACGGATCCCGCACATTTGACTCTACACGGATCCCGCACATTTGACTCTACACGGATCCCGCACATTTGACTCTACACGGATCCCGCACATTTGACTCTACACGGATCCCGCACATTTGACTCTACACGGATCCCGCACATTTGACTCTACACGGATCCCGCACATTTGACTCTACACGGATCCCGCACATTTGACTCTACACGGATCCCGCACATTTGACTCTACACGGATCCCGCACATTTGACTCTACACGGATCCCGCACATTTGACTCTACACGGATCCCGCACATTTGACTCTACACGGATCCCGCACATTTGACTCTACACGGATCCCGCACATTTGACTCTACACGGATCCCGCACATTTGACTCTACACGGATCCCGCACATTTGACTCTACACGGATCCCGCACATTTGACTCTACACGGATCCCGCACATTTGACTCTACACGGATCCCGCACATTTGACTCTACACGGATCCCGCACATTTGACTCTACACGGATCCCGCACATTTGACTCTACACGGATCCCGCACATTTGACTCTACACGGATCCCGCACATTTGACTCTACACGGATCCCGCACATTTGACTCTACACGGATCCCGCACATTTGACTCTACACGGATCCCGCACATTTGACTCTACACGGATCCCGCACATTTGACTCTACACGGATCCCGCACATTTGACTCTACACGGATCCCGCACATTTGACTCTACACGGATCCCGCACATTTGACTCTACACGGATCCCGCACATTTGACTCTACACGGATCCCGCACATTTGACTCTACACGGATCCCGCACATTTGACTCTACACGGATCCCGCACATTTGACTCTACACGGATCCCGCACATTTGACTCTACACGGATCCCGCACATTTGACTCTACACGGATCCCGCACATTTGACTCTACACGGATCCCGCACATTTGACTCTACACGGATCCCGCACATTTGACTCTACACGGATCCCGCACATTTGACTCTACACGGATCCCGCACATTTGACTCTACACGGATCCCGCACATTTGACTCTACACGGATCCCGCACATTTGACTCTACACGGATCCCGCACATTTGACTCTACACGGATCCCGCACATTTGACTCTACACGGATCCCGCACATTTGACTCTACACGGATCCCGCACATTTGACTCTACACGGATCCCGCACATTTGACTCTACACGGATCCCGCACATTTGACTCTACACGGATCCCGCACATTTGACTCTACACGGATCCCGCACATTTGACTCTACACGGATCCCGCACATTTGACTCTACACGGATCCCGCACATTTGACTCTACACGGATCCCGCACATTTGACTCTACACGGATCCCGCACATTTGACTCTACACGGATCCCGCACATTTGACTCTACACGGATCCCGCACACAGGACCGCCCAGTCCCCTCCCCCCCACAGTCACATCAGTCTCTCGGTTTCTTGCAGCTCGTCCAATCAGAAGGCGGCGTTTGTGCGGGAAAAGTAAATATTTATTAGGATTTGATTCTCTGGGGGAAGAATTGCGGTTGTGGAATTATTCCAACAGGAAGTGTGCGCCCCCCTCCCCGATGTTGAACAGAGGAGCGATTGGATGGCGCGCGCAGCTCCCAGGATAAGGCGGCTTTTGTGTGTCATTCCCGCAGGGCAGCCAGATAAGGGACCCCGGACTGTGTGACACGGGGCCCAGGACTCAGGCCTGCACTCCCT